ATATACTGCCTTGATATTCTGGGATACAGGGCTGTGTGGAAGGGCCCTGGGAAAGGCTGCCTTCAACTGATGATAACTTTGGGGTTTTTTTTCAAAGTGCATATCTTTCTGTTTTGTGAATGATTAAGTCAATTACTTGGAAAGAGTTTCTGTCACAACTGACATGGTTACTTGAAGCTCGATAAATAAGCTACTACTTTTAGCTGCCTTAAAAAATTGTTATATGGCACCTTAGGTTTCACATTGGAAGAAAAGTTGAATCTAGGAAAAATAAGTAGAAAACACAGAATGTTTCAAACTTTATCTATTTACCTAACATACAGCATTTATGTTTTGATACATTGGTAGGAGCCAATATTTATTAAACTATAAATGTTAAAACTGTTTCTATAGGCAAGTGATTGTTTATTGCATTGTATCTTTGCTATTTTTTCCTTGCGTGTGACACCACTATGATTAAAGCAAGCAGTTAATTTACTTGAAAATCTGGTTTTGGCAGGGAGAAATAACCTAGGAATTCTTTCTCACTTTTAATAGTGAGTTGAAAAATAAAGTATGTGGCCATTAAAACAGTAGTATACTTAAATTATATCTCAAATCTATTTCCCTTTAATTGATTGCTAAAAGCATCAACAGAAAATATATCAACTCAGTATTTATTGGTAAGTAACACTGCAATAAAGTCCTTAAAATGAGAATTATATTTATTTAATAGGCATAGTCCACATACAGAGTATATATTTCATTCTAATTGGATGCCTCATCCATTCCTTAATGTCTTGATCTTTTAAACTGCTACACAGTTTTCTTCAAGTACGAGCCATCATTCTAGAATTAAAATGAAAATGATATGCAATGTCCAATTAATTCATAAGCAGGAAAGGAAATAGCTTATACATTCAAAGTTATATTGCGATTACTCCAATGAAGTAAAGATCATTTTAAGAATGTAAAAGTACTCTTCAGGTAACTAATTTCTTCTAGAATATTACAACTGTAGTTGCACTTCTTTCTTCAGATAATGCATGTTCATTCAATAGTCTCAGCTATAAAACATGGCTCTAAAATTTCTGAAAGGTAAAAATGAAGATTTATCTTAGAATAAGGCCACTAAAACCAATGAGAATTTAATTAGTCAAGACTAAATACTATTCCATTAGTTTCAGTCGATCCATTCAAATTATGACCAAGATTCAACACTAAAAATAGAAACAATTTAAAGATGCTGCAAAATGATTAAAAACAAGCTAACCTGCCTTTAGTGTTTGGCCATAAAAGACATAAAAATCAGGACATGTTTAATGATGAATGAAAGTGCTGCTAGGAGGTTTGAGGACCTTTTGCATAGATATTTATTTTTAAATGATGGAACGTGTCTTGGCGATGCCATTTAATGGAATGTAATGACATAGTCAAGATAAGTTCCATCATTTTTGGCTAAGGTAAAGTATCATTTTTTCTGTTCTTTAAATTAAAAAGATAACCTAGAGTAAATGTTTCCTGGATTCAAAACTGGATTTCATGCAGTATTCCGTTATGATTAAAAGATGAGCCACATTAATGTATATTTGCACATATGTACATTCTGAACGGAATAAATCTAGAAATCATACAATCAAAATATATTCAGTATTGGGCTTGTCTCTTTATGATAAGAGATGATAGAAACAATGTAAAGCTTTACCTCATGTTGTTTTAACAGCACAATCCTATGCATGTCTACTCACAAGAAAATCTTAGTAAGTTACTAGCTACATAGGTGAAGGATTTTAAAGTAAATATTTCTCAGCTAGAAATTTATGATGGAGCCCCACACACCAAATGCTATACATTAGTAATGCATTAAGATGTTTTCAAAATGGCTTGAAAATATGCAAATGTGTATTATAATTTTGCTTACATTCACAGAATAACTACATTAAATTTTGTGTGATCCTAGGGAACCATTGCATTTCTAAGAGCCAAAGCATTGTAATGCAGCAGGATTGAGAAGAGCTTTAAGACTTCACAAAAAGATTTTATTGAACTCTCCCTGCTCTCCTTTGAGACATTTATTAGATGTCGATAACAAAGTTCAACTTCCTCATGACTTAAGCATCTCACAGGTTAGTTTGCTTGCTAGAGAAGGGAGGGTCTTTAGCATACCTCAGAATGTAAAATAGCAATGACACAAATGAATCAAAATACTATTCAAATAACATTTTCCTAACTTAAAATGGGGGGTGGGGAAGGAATGAGAATTACACAGATTTGCAACATTGATTGGTACATCTGTATATTGACCGAACTGATAAGCCTCCCTTATTCCTTTGGCTTTTAAAAAATCAGATTTGCAGTTGATTCTACATATATATGATCCAAAGACTAATTCCCACTGAGTTCAATAACAACTTACTTATACGTAAATGCGTGTAGATGGCATCCTAACGTGGAGGTGCAATTTCTGTTTGATAGCCACTTTTCAGCAGTCAAAAGCAATGGGTTTTTTTTCAAAGTGATAATGATAAAAATGGATAATCTTTTTTTAAAAAAAAAAAAAGCCCACAGACAATCTGTCATCAGTAAGACCCTTTAACGGGTTTAGTTGGATTTTATCACAGTAGAATGATCTTCTAGCTCTAGGCTTTAACTATACAGCATTCTTTTTGGCCTGGCAGTTGTAATGCAATGACAAAAGATAATATGTTAACTTTTTATTAAATACTTAAAGAAGGAGGCTGAGAATTGAACTGCAAGTGCCAGTCTTGTTTTGTAAAAGAGCTGCAACTGACAAAATGCATATGACAAATTTGAGGTTTAGCTCAGTGTTCAAGCATTAACTATACCCTCTTATTCATCATTTATTACAGGACAATGTTTACACCAATATTCCATACATTTAATAAAAGCAAGCCATCATAGTTGAATTAGTAGTCTAAGAAAACTCTTTCATCAAGATGGGCCATGCATGCTTTGATGTTTAAAAGTTGTTTAAAATTATGCACTATTATACAAAACAGGATTTTGTGCCATCTTAAAAAATATAGGTGATGCAACAAAAATAATAAATTAGCTGTGTATTAAGCTGATAAAAAGTACATAACTTTTAATGCCACACTCTGCGTATCAAAGACTGCTTTAGCAGCCAAGTATATATTTTAATTCAGTAGAAAAAAATGAATCTGAGTGTACATCATGAACAGGTGAACAAATGCAGCTGCTACTAGGAAAAGCAAAGAAAGAGCATAGTACACAGGTTTATTTTTTTCAATTACATAATAATTCTACAGTATCTGAAACCTGTATCATCCTGGAACATGGCCATACAGCCCGGAAAACTCACAGCAACCCAATGAGTCCGGCCATAAAAGCCTTCGGCAACACATGCTTAGTTATTTGCTATTTTTTTCCAAAATGTTGCTTGTGTATGCATCTCAGTTTCCCCTGTACTAAAGTTTAAAATGCTACTTTTTAAACGTTACAAGTAATATGTGTATACGCTGCACACAAAATCAAGGCTTTGATGCTCAATTGCAATTTATCTATTGCTAACATGAACAAGACAAAGTGAACTCATCAAGAGCCATTTGAAATGATCATCCAGCACATCCTATGATTTTATAAATTCAGTGCTATTTTCTATCAGTGCTAACAATTTAATATTTATTAAAATGATAATTTATTAACGCCATTCTATTGACAAAGGTTAAAAAGCTTTGTTAGGTTCTTGACTTTCAGATCCCAGTGGGGTTTTGCCACACGCTAAATGCTATTTTAAGTTTATGGTCTTAGGATACCATGTGCCAGGATTTTGATATGGAAATACTAATGAGCAAGGAAATAAATTAGCATTTATATACAGTTGTATACACATTGATACATGAAGCTAAGCGTTTCCTGTTAACATTACATAAACCTTTTCAGTAGCTTACCCAAACTCACTTCAAATGAGATACTGCAGAACAGCATGGTCATTTTAATCACAACTTCTTACAGACTTTCAAAACCACCACATGAGTTCCTACAGCGCTTTCAAATCTAATGGAGGGGGGAAAAACTAGCATTGTTAAGTGTATTGAAACCACTACTATAAGTTAAAAACTGAACATTCCTTGACTGATATGGCATTTGAGAATATTCATGCCATAAAGTATCTCAAAGTCCCAAAGATGTGGCTATAACTATACAAACCCTTTTGAAATCATATACAATTTATAAAATGCAACTTTGCTAACTTATGTTGAAGCTATCTGGTCATAATATTTGCAATACTAGACTGTGAGGTGCTAAGCTTTATGAAAGCTGCATATAATCAAATATAGAGATTTTTCCTTCGTTCTTCTATTATTACAATCTATCAATACTGATGCATAGCATAGGTTTTTTAAGGAGTTAAGACACTAATAAGGACCGTAACAACATTCATTAGCATAACAGTCAAATTTTAGAATAGATAACCAGCAAAATAATTCTGTTTGAAGTATTTCTTTGGAATGTTTTGAGAATATGGTCTAAAAAGTTAGGATATGTTTACCAGTTAGTCTGATGAAAACAAATTTTAATGCTCTCAGGTCAAAAAATTATTTGCACATAATTTGAGTGAAAGCTACGAGTTAACCGATATTTCCGTTTTATAGATTTAAATCACTAATCAATCATTCCTTCAAATTACCAGTTTTTCTCCCAGTCTTGTCCAATCCTGCATTCTTGTTACTATAGATCTGTTTCATGGATTTAGTGCTTAGTGCTATCACAGAACTCGGAATGGTGTTATAGGATGAACATCATACTTTCTCTATTATCATCCAGTAGAGATTTTCTTAACTGATTGCAATGTGCAATTCCCCAGTGCTTTTTAGTATGGAACACCTTAGAACTAGAAACCACTTTTATTTTACAGCTACTCCAAACAGCAAGCTGATAATTTCATAAAGCAATACAAATCTGTACATTATCAAAAGTTAGGGCATTATCAAAACACTCTGGAATTTCAATGTCTAAAAAGGGGAGAAGACTACCAATTGATTTCTCAGTATGTATAATTTATTGCAGTTAGCACACAGTTTAAAAATTCACCAACACACCAATAGTACAAAACTAAACAGCGTTATAAGTTATTCCCCCTCCCTTTCAGGAAAATAAAACATACTATGATTGTCAAAGCTAGATGTCAGTCTAATTTTTAGAACCAAAAAAGAATATGAAACTAAAGGGCACCCCCAAAAACAATCACTCACATTCACAAAAATAATAATTCAAAAGTAGTCCATTTTTTCCAGACATTGATTGTCTTTTCTAAAATTAATAAAAAGAATGTATTTTAAAAACCTAGCAACTATTCAAGTAACTAAAAATAATGCTCCAAGGCCATTTTCACAGCTTTTTTTTTGTTTTAAATGCCATTACAGCCAAATTAACATACATTTGACCAAAGTATTTCCAAAACAGTCCAGCAATACACAATGGAGTTTTCCATTCAGTTTCTTAAGCACAAAAATAGGCTATGTTTACAGTAGTTAAGGCGATCAAACTCTAAACAAAGCGGAAAGAAGAAGAAAAACAATTTTCCATGCTACTCCCATAGACCTTATTTGTAAGTGCAAGACAGGAAAACAAACACTGTGCAAAACGCTCTTGCCCTGTGTGTTGATCATTAAAACCACACGTCAGGCCACAGTCTTTGCTGCTTGGATACACAGTTCACAAACCCTCCCCCAACTTTTCTCCCGCCGTTCCCCCACCCCACCCCATGTCAATCAAGGTTTTCTAGTCCTTTCAGCCTGGGGCTTTTTCACTCCATAGAATCTTTTCAAGGGGCGAAAAATGAATGACCTATTGTCAATTTGTGCAGCAGGAATTCTAAAAATGCTCATATGGGTAATGTATGCATCAAAAGTTGGCGCTGGCATGAGTTCTGTGCAATCAGATTTTTTTCCTTGATAAATGTACACTGCACATGCAAATCTCTAAGCCTGTTTGTAAACATTACTATCTTCCTTTACATAGCTAAAATCAACATGTAGCTTTTGTTCAACTTAAAGACAGTGGGCAATTAATTTAACTTATATAAAATAAAAAACAGTGCATTTATGTTCTTCATAACACCAATTTTTCCAGTGGTGTTTTTCCCTACAAAAAATTAAATAAGTTTTAAAACTCACTCATTAAAGTTATACAATGCAAACAAAGACAAAAATATACTGAAACGCATGCATTTCCGTAGCGTTAATATTTACTTTTCAAGACTCAATGGAGAGCATTAACACAACTTGTCAATTTCCTTGACACCCCCCCAGCCCATTTAATCAATTACAGTATACAACATAATTCACATTTTAAATGCAGTTTGCAACTGTTGAAGTTGCAACATCCTTTTACATCCCAAGCATACCCTCACAGAGTCCCAGCAATTCCAGTGTATTTTCAAAAATCTGTGATGGTCATTTAAAAAAAAAAAGGGAACCGTTGTAACCCACAAATTACAATAGTATCTCAACCACTTGTTTAAAAATAGATACTCCAGCATTTCAGAAATTTATCACTTGGGTCTAAAAGCATTCAGGTTTCCCACAGCTAGAAAAGATGCATGCAGTTTTTAAACTGTAACCAAATTGATAAAACACTGGAAGGGAGTACTCTTTTCATTTTAATTGAAGTTTGAAATGATGCAGTGTTGCAAGTAAGGTTTAAATAAAACCTAAAATCACATTTGTTCATTTGCAGCTTTATTTAAAAGAAGTACTTATTTTTAGGGGAAATACGGGGAAATTAATGATATTTATTAGTCTTATTTCTATAGTTCATATTATCAGAGCACTAAATAGTGAAATGTTCATGCCGCCTTAAAGTGCATAAAACAAGCTAATGGCCAAACTTTCAATTCATGGAAACAAGACTGCTTTTAGACTGTACCACAACTATATAGATTTATATATATATATATATTAATTATATATATAAAAATTCTATTTCCAAAGTTCTTGTGAGCTATCTTCTAGTGTCCAGTCTCTGACAGTAGGTAAGCTCAGTGCTTCACTTTTGACAGACAATGAGTTCACCAACTCACAGTGAAACTTCCGAATATGTCTGTAAAGGTCTCCAGACTGTGTGAACCTCCGCTCACACCACTTACAAGCATGCGGCTTCTCCCGAGTGTGAACTACGGCATGGCGGCTCAGATTGTGGGAGTACTGGAAGCTCTTTCCACACTGGGTGCAAGTGTAGGGTTTTTCACCTGAATGAGTCCTCTCATGTCGTTTCAAGGTGTACATGCAAGAAAAAGTCTTACCACACAAGGAGCAGGTTGGGACATTGACATCAGTGGCAGGCTTGCTGCGGATCCCATCCTGCTCTCGAAAGTGCGTACTTAAATGTATCTGAAGAATGTGGGGGCTAGGAAAGACTTTGTTGCAGAGGGGGCACATGAAAATCTGGCCTGCAGGGTTAAGTATGTTGGAGACATAAGGAAGCAGACTGCTGTCCATATTCCCTTCCACCTGAACCCTCTCATTCTCTGGAGTTATCATCTCATCGTCACTTGCTTTGTCCTCTCTATCTAGCTCCCTCAAAACAGAATCTTCCCTCATAGGAGCCAGATGGGCTGGCTCATACGGTACCCTGTTATTAGTGCTCACACTTTCTTTCACAGTGCTATGTTCCATGTCATAGTCATTAGTGCCAACATCACTCTCATCACAGGAAGCTTCTTTCTCCACCTTCACCTGTACCAGGTTGTTTCTAATCATGTCCTGTGGAGAAAAATAAGAATTGTTCAGATTCTCAACTCCAGAAAGGCTTGACTTGACAGACAAGTCCAGGACACAGTCAACATCTGCTGAATCCCTCATAGAGGTGACAGACCTCTGGGACAAAGACTCTGTTGAGCTGCAGGGGCTGGCTACTGTTTTTCCAGCTGCTGTTGCGTGTGTCTCTGCCTCTCCGCCACTCTGGGGAATGCCTGCTGAGTCCGAGGGCAATCTCATCCACATGTTCCCAGGCTCGGCCGCCAAGTCCCTTTTGCTAGGCAGAATGCTCAATTTTTCATCCTCCCCTTCATCTTCATCACTGGGTATATCTCCCGCAATGTGGCTGCTGCCATCGGAAAGGCTCTCTACTTTGTCTGAACAACTCGAAGCGTCTTCTTCCTTTTTAGTACTGTCTGCTTCTGTTGTGGCTTTTTCTTTCAGCTTCTTTTTACAGACTTTGACAATATCATACATGTGGAGATAACTGGCAGCTGCTAGCACATCTTCAATGGGCAAGTCTTTGAACTGGAGTTTCCCTTCATACATGAATTCAAGAAGGAGAGCGAAAGCTGGGGCTGTAACAATGTCGCTGTTCAGATGAACAATGTCTCTTTTGTCCAGCTGGTCCTTGTAAAATAGGTGGAAATACATGCTGCATGAAGCCAGTACTGCTCTATGTGCTCGGAACTGGGCATCTCCTACCAGAACGGTACAGTCACAAAGAAATCCCTGATGTCTCTGCTCACTCAAACACTGTAGTAAATGTCTACTATGGTCAGGAAACTCCATGCTGTCTTCATAACCTAGGAGCAAAAAAGATTTAGTTAAACATTAGAAGCAATCAATCACAAGCTTACATAAGATTACACTTGACAAGATAATTTCCATAAGATGTACCAATTTTAATGAACCATCTTTGTGGCATGCAACAATTTAGACAGTCAACTTCTCATGACTTTTCTCTTCAGTTATCTTTTGTAGTTTCCTGAGTTATATTAACAATGGTAAAGAAGCATATTAGGAGTGGGGTTCTAAAATCAAGGATTCGACAAGTTAAATGTTAAACCACATCTTACTACACAAAGAAAATAATATAGATAATCCTGTGTATATGGGATTAAAACCACATTTAATTGATCAATACAACGAAGGCTTATAAAATACTTTGTCAGAGATAAAGTGGACTCATCAGTGAATGATTGCCTTTTCAATATTCTTTGTTTGGCAAAATAAAAAAAAACATCAAGACAAAACTTTGTGAGAATACACTAAAATGCAAACAAGTGCAATTATACAGAAGAGATTATACTTCTGTTAATGATTCTAAATATATGGAGAACATTTCAGTTGGTGGACAGTAATCATAAAAATATTTCAGTAAGTTTTAACACAATTTCCTTTCTCTTGTGGGCACTACTTTAATATTTTTTTATCTGTGTAATTGTATTCTTTAGAAGAATTTGTTAAAAAGAGCACTGAAATTTTCTAAATAAAAACTTTAAACATTTCCTCTTTTCTGTTAGTTGAAATCAAAGTTGTGGTAAACTAGTTACACACAACAGCTGTGCCTTTGAACACAGATATACCTTCTTGAAGTTACAATCCTATCCCAAGTATATTCTACAAAATACTACTGTCAGAATAAAGCAAGAAGATTTACAATACAATCACTTTAAGTGCCCCACAACCAACATCAATCCTAATCCTTAAGAGGGCTAAAAATAAAGATTGGAGGGCAGCTCACAAGGTAGCTGTGATCAAATTAGGAGGCTGAAAGGACAGAGAGGGACGAAGAAGGAAGCTTATAAACATCTGATCCAGCTGACTGTGGCCATATGGCAGCTGCTGCCCAGATAAAGAGATTAAGAATAGAGGAGTGCGATTACAGCTGTCTGGCCAATTCAGGCAGCTCAAATCTACAAGTTCTAAATTAGTCGTGAACACAGAAACCTTCCCTCAAACAATTCTTGTTATAAACTTCTTTAACACACACTGAGGAATCAAAAAGACAAAGGAAAAAGAAAGAAAAGGTAGGAAAAGAAAGAGAGGCTACCAAGAGAGGAGGGATCCATAAGTTTAACATATACACCGTTTCTATTGTTTCCCTTTAGATGTCTAAAGTTCAGTAGTTCGATCTGCAAGCACAAAGTTTAATAGCCGGAATCATCATGCACAATATTCATATCTCCTACTGTCTCTATCACACATGCCATTTATACCTCTTCACTTCTTTCATCCTTAGAAAGCAGTACCATTAGAACGGTTGAAAATACTATATTGCGCCAATAATCCCAAACTACAACACTCAGTGCTGAAGAGAACAAAAATAGGGGGGCTGCATCATTTAAAAAATTACTTCTGGTACAAGCAGACAAGAACTGAACAATACACGCCTTCACTGTTATCCCCCTTTCACTGTATTTTACTTATTCCTGCTAAACCTAATTAAACCAGGAATGGGATATCTAAAATTAAATAAACACCAAGAGAGAAATACACTATATAACTTGCCTACTGCTCTTCCTACCTTTAGCACACATAAACCTGATTAAGTCCTTTTGTCCGAGTCTTGCTGGCTCCAGGTCTGTTAGATCAGTGGAAAAAAGCAGACTAAGAGAGAGACAGATGCAAAGTGGAGATGATGTTAGAGAGGAATGAGATACCTTCCCTACACACAGATCTGCAAACACACTCACTCCCTGTCTGTGTGTTAGAATAAAAGGCTGAGGGATGGCAGGCTGTCAGCTGCTCTGACATCATGTTCAGATGGAAATGCTACCTCCAGCTGTGCTCCTTTTAATGCCATATGCTACTCCTCTACACTCCTGCCACCAGCTTTTTCTTAGGAGAACTTTTCTTGTCTGTTAGTATAAACAAAATACTTCAAAGTCTTTTTTCATAACTTTCTAACAGAGGAAAGTAAAAAAAAAAAACCTTAAACATATGGGGCTTCACTGCATGTATAGTATAGCAACCCTTCTGCCATAAGTTTGTAGAGCATTTTATATACTATGAACTCCCTCAAGTCAAGATAATCATTTTTTTACTGAAACCAGAGGTTTGTTTTAAAAGATCAGCCTTCCTGTTAGAATTCAGTACCCAATTTCTTCCCTTCTACATATTCAGATATTTTTTTCCCTTCAGATTCAGTATGTACAGATAGAAGTATATAAATACTAACATCTTGTCTAATTACTTGAGTCACATTGTTTAAAAACCCAGAACAATTGACTGCTTAGGAATTTATAAGCAATAATGAACAATGGTCTTTCAACAAACCAAATGCAAAATAAAAGATGGGTTAAATACTCAAGCTGCACTGAAGACGTACCACCTGCAAACTTGTACCATGCAAGGCCAGGAATAACATCAACACAGACAGAGAGATATTTCTCTGGTTGTTAAATTTCATACTGTGTCCTGCAATTCTATATTTGAAAATAGTCAAGTAAAACTTATTTAACTCTGTCTTAGGAAATATTAAACACTATTTTTGTTTTCTTATTAAACAGAAGTACTATCACTTATATTAAAACATTCTTATTACTTCCTGTACTATGGATACATAGAAGTCATTCATGTAAATGACAAAGATGGGATCCCACTTTTTATTCAGCAGGAACATTTTCTAAGAGCAAAATAAGATAAAACGAGGCAGCTGTTTATAAACATATTAGAATTAAGCTAACTTTATGCTCAGTTAAATAAGTTCTCCACTCTATGTGCTGATCACTTCTATTTTACTCTCATAACTATCAGCTAATCCAAGACCAATACCACAATTCTTAGCAAGGTACAACATTTCTGAAGTGGGGAACATAGTACACAAAGTGGGAGCATGTTGAACAGTTTAACCTACAATGTTTTTCCCCTTTGCACTTCTTAAAGAGACACAAAGTTGAAGGCTCATCCAAACTACTCATATAATTTATTTTACATTGTAAAGGGCACAGGGAGCAAATCAAGCATAGAAGAGAAAAGTGGAAGAACAGCCGGAAAGAAGGAAACAACAGCCTAACATAGGAACTGTCCAGACTATGACCATAGCTACTCAAGCAACAACAAAAGGAAAGCAGCTTGGAAAAAGATCAACAGATGAGTCCTGGGAGGAGCAGAGCCTCTCTTCACCCTCCTCAGCCCCCTCCACAGCTGCATTGCACCCCATTTCATTTCCCCTCCTCACCTTCAGCGCCACAAGACCAGAGAAACTCACAGACTCCCTCTGCTCCTGCCACACACAAAGAACTCCCTCTCCGCTCCCCACATCTGCTCCTGATCCCAGCCCACTCCAGGCAAGCCCCCCCCTCCTTGCAAGAGAGGCTGCAAATTCAGAAGCCTACCACACTCTCCCTGGTAAAAGGAAAGGAGGGGGCTGCCATCTTCTGTCCCGAAGTCACAACCTGTGCCCCAATTCTTCCCCTGCTGCTAAGGGACACACACCTGCTCCCCATTAACCCCTCAGGGGCTCCTCTCCTCCCACCCATTTGACACCTGACCTCTCTTCCTGACCCCAACCCAATGCCAGTCCTAGAGGGCAGAGGAAGCAGAACCCCTCCACTCCAAAATAACCCTCCTTCTACCTGTTTGCCCCTCTCCTTAGCTCACTTTGGAGCCCCACTTCTTACTCAAGACCTCCCCCCCCCCAACCAGCACACTCCTTAAGGGACCCTCTCCCCCTCAAAGGAAGACATCTCTTTTCCCCCTCTCACCTGTTAGCCCCTCATCCCCAACTCACTTTAAGCCTGGAATACCCTGGAGCCTCCTTTTGGCCCCTCTCCCTCCAATGATCTCAGCTCCCTTTATGCTTTCTATCTCTTGGCCTCTCTCCACCCTTCCTATAAGAGGACCCTTCCTCTTCAAAAGAAGACCTCTTTCCTCTCCCTCTTCCTGGTCACCTCTCTCCTCTCATAGATCAAAACTCACTTCAAGCCTGGGAGCCTCTCCTGGACACCTGGGAGCCCCCTTGAAGCCAAGGGACGCCAACCCAATGCCAGTCCACGGAGCAAGAGGAAGGGGAGCCCCTCTACTCCAAGAAGACCCCTGTTTGCCCCCCATTGCTCCCAGCTCCCTTGAAGCCAAGAACCCTTCCTTAGCCTTGAGCCCCCTTTCCTCCCCTCTCTCTGTATGTACCCCAAATCACTTTATCCCAGCTCACCTCGGAGCCCCTGCCTTTCTTCCCCTGCTTCAGGTCTGCCCCATAAGAGACCCCAACTCCTTTGAAGCCAATGACTCTCCAAGATAAAGGAAAGGGGGGGGGGCTGTCATGTTCCGTCCTGAAGTCACAACCTGTGACCCCAATTCTTCCCCTGCTGCTAAGGGACACACACCTGCTCCCCATTAACCCCCCAGGGGGCTCCTCTCCTTTCACCCATTTGATACCTGGCCTCTCTTTCTGACCCCAACCCAATGCCAGTCGCTAGAGGGCAGGGGAAGCAGAGCCCCTCCACTCCAAAGGGACCCTCCCTTCACCCACTTTGGAGCCCCACTTCTTAGGGGCAAGAATAAGCCCTCTCCCCCTCTCACTCCTTCCAACCTGTTGGCCCCCTTCCCCACATTTATCCCGACTAACTTTGAGGCAGGGACCCTTTTTGAGAAGCTGCTTTACTTCCGGCCTCTCATGGGGGGGGGGGCCTCACAAGAAGACCCTTCCCCTAAGGCTCCCCACTCCCTTGAAGCCAGAGACCCCCACCCATGGCCAGGCCAGCCCGGCTCACTTTCAGCCTGGGAGCCCTCCTTCCTTCTTTGGGCCTTCCCCCTCCATAAAGCGCCCCAAAACAAGGCCCCTCCTCCCTCGAAGACCACCCCCCCCCTCCCCCAGGCGAGCAACCTGCTGCTCCAGAAGCCACAGTCCCGGGACTCACACTCCAGAAGGGCCCCACGGCGTCCCAGCTGCCGCTTCCTTCCTTCCTCCTCCTCCTCCTCCGGCCACCGCCGCAGCCCCCTTCCGCCTCCCCTCCGCCCTCAGCAAGTGAGGGAGTGAGTGCGCGCGGGACCTCTGGGAGGGGAGGGGGGAAACCGTGGAGCGGGGGGGCCCCTCCCGCGCGCTCTCAACGGCGGCCCCCCCTCCGAGCAGCAACAGCAACGGCCGAGCGCGAGGGCGAGGGGGGCGGGGAGCCAGGCGCACGCAGCGCGAGAGGGAGGGAGGGAGGGAGAGGAGGAGGAGGCACGCGCGGCGGCGTCGGCGGCGGCACAGACGGGGCCCAGGCTGCGGCAGCCAGATGTTTCCTCCCCTCCCCTCCTTCCCTCCCTCCCTCTCTCTCTCTCTTTCCCCTTTTCTCTTCCTTCCCCCGGCCCGTTTCCCTCCTGACTGACAGCCAGGACGGCCCCCTCGAGCGCTTCCGTCCAATCGGAAGGGGAGAGGGATGCTGAGCGACAAGGCGAGCCCGCCCAATGGGAAAGGGAGGAAGCCCAGGAAAACTCCGGGCTGCGGCTAATCAGGGCTCTGGGGGGCGGGGCCTGCGAAGGAGGGGGCGGGGCCTGGGAGTCCCGGGTCAGCACGCGCCTCCTTTTCGCCTCTTCTTTCTCTTTCTGTCTTCCCGGGGCGCGGTGCATGCCGGGGGAATAGAGGTGCCCCAACTTCATTGAGTCCGTGGGGAGCTGGATAGATTGTATCTTCTTTTGCAGCTTTCGCTCTTGTTTACATTTTATTCATGGGAGGGAAGGGAACCACACGCCTGCTTTTATTGGCGAGCCACCTCCTTTCTTGGGAGGAGGTGACCTTGCCCAGTTCAAGGAGGCAGTTCTTCAGAGAGATCTGGAGGGCATTTGGAGATTTAATCCGTGTTTATACCGGTTTTAAGTGACTCACACTAGAGAATGAATCCACTTTAAATCCAGTTGCTGCCTCCAGCGGAATTCTGGGGTTTGTATTTAGTGAGGCTGTTAAAGGATCCTCCCGAAACTACAAATCCCAGAATTCTGCAGGAGGCAGCGACTCGATTTAAAGTGGATTCATTCTCTCGTTTGGTGAGGTTACAGTGGTTCTCAACCTGGGGTCCCCAGGCCAGCCTACTCAGATCTGCACGCGTTATTCGCTGATACATCACACAGTCCTAGACACTTGGAAAGTGTCCATGTGATCCAATACAATAGCCAGCATAATGATCTTTTTGCTGTGTACTAATTTTGTGTTTCTAATAATCAGAAGAAGAAGCAGCAGCAGTAGCAGCTTTGGTGGCCTTAGCATGAGCAATCTTGGTGTAATCCTTCATTACTTAGTCTAAGTGGCTACAAAATGGTACTGATATTTTTCAGTAGCCTTGTTTAGTATTTGAACTTTTTGGTTTTCATTCCACTGCTTGTGTGCTTACACAAAGTTCATCCCAACACCACAGTGCCAGTAGTCATTGGTGAATTTATTCTTGTTTTTAGTCTGAACTTTAAAGGAGTTACTTGGGTAGCTGAATTGTTCCAGCAATATGATGGAGCACTCTCAATTGCTCGGTCCAATAAAAAATGTATACGAATAAGAAATAATAAAATCTTTATTTATATTCCGCCCTATCTCCCCAAGGGCAGATTCCAACATACAATGGCAAACATTCAATGCCCCCGTAAACAGACAAATATCAAGACAATCCCAGAGGAACCCCACATATCAAAACAACATAAGATCCTAACATCAATAAATTAAACCCAATATAATAAAACAAAAATTATATAATGGCATAATATAATTGATGTGATTGATGTTACTTGATGTTGTTGTTTATTGTGTGGGTTTTAATATGTATTTCATGCCTCACCCTTGTAATCTGCTCCAAGATGGTGGCGGGGTATAAGAATAAAATTATTATTATTATTAAAATCTGAACATAAAAACATTCACCTTGATTTATAGAAACCAACTATCATTCACCAAATTGTGCAAGTGGGTTGCGGAGCCA